ACAGACAGACAGATAGACAGACAGACAGACACACAGTGTGTCAGTGTCTCGATCACATCTGACTCAGTAGAAATAAACGTGTAGTTCCTCCTGCCTGCGGCTTCTCCACAGGTGAAACCAAACCGGAACCAGAGCAGAAGTCATTTCTCCTTTTCACACTGAGCAGCTGTGACCGTAACAAAAACACACACAAATAAAAGTAAACTTTAACAGAGACTCAGAGACGAGAGGCTGCAGGGAAAAGATCTCCAGCTGCAACACTGACATCTGTCGACATCTACTGACAAGACAAACAAACTGCAACCCTCTGTGAGAGGTTGGTACATTACATTTGTTCTGAGACAAACAGAATGGATCGGGTGTTTCATTTTGATACTCATGAGTTGGCTGATTGTCTTTGCTTCTAAATATTTGGGAAAAAGCGCAAGGATGATTGTTTAGTTTTGGTCTTTCTTTCTTTTTTGTTCTTAATCAGTTTTTAAATTAAAGTTATGGAAGCATGTTTTAGGCTGATATGAATAAAAGTCTTTCAATATTCTTAATGCCTGTTCTAAACCAGTATTTTTGGTCTGTGTTGATGCTCCGGAGCTACTTCAGAATGACTCCTTGTCATTAGTGAGTCCTCCTTGAACAGTTTTGCAATAAACCTTTTTATTGTCTGTGTGCTTAATGTTGTGTGCAGAGTCTAAAGAGCAGAGTGAAGTTTGGAAACTTTGTCTGCAGTCAATATTTGATGAAATATCTAAGGTAATGGATCTGTGACAGAAATAAATGTAACATACACTTGCTGTGTAAAGAATAAAGTCTTGCGTGAAAATGCATGGCAAAGTAAAAAAATGTGCTGCAACACAAAGGTGCATTTTGTATTGTTACCATGCGACCCCCACACCAATTAATGATTTGTATTTTTTCCACAGCAAAAGTTCCTTGGTCTGTTTGTATCTAAATCCATGACCTTGGGCCAATGAAGAGGGGTTTTTCTTTTCACATATTTCCAGACACAATCTTTTTTTGCCTCTAAATTTAATGTGTATAAACTATACACTTCAGGAATTGTCTACAGAAATAAAAACAAAAATAAGCAAATCATTTCATAATTGTTTTTATTTTCTGTTCCGTATTTAACATTCCACATCACTGAGAAAAAAAAAGTAATTTACTGTTATTTAACCAGTTGATAAGAGGGCAGAGTATAAAAAGAGCAGTCGATTGGTTTAATAAATGCACTGACAAGTTTCACATGGATGTGTATAAATATCCTGTACATCGTTTGATGAGACTTGTTTAGAGTAAAAGTAAAATGTGGGAAGAAACACTGACATGAGGAAAGTGAGGTGAGGGTTAAGGTATTGCTTCTTATCATACACTTTGAAGAAATGCAAATGTCTGCGGATCAGTCCACAGCGAGAAGTGTTCAGGCAGAAAAGAGAAAATAAGAGAGCATGCCGAGGAGAAGAAACTCATTTAATAAGATGATTCTTTACAAGATGAAGCAAAACTGAAAATGGCAGATCAAAGTCATCTCGGCTGATCCAATCAGCTGTGCGATCAGTGAAACTAAGGTATCAGATCAATGTTTTACCCTCTGACAGTATCCGAGGTTCGTGATTTATCGTTTCATCTATGCCCATCTTCTGCGTGTGTGAGCTCAGTATCTGTAGGGAGGACTCCGTGATCGAGACCGTGACCTCCTGGTGAAATGAAAAAAAAAATAATGCTGAAGGACAAACCTCAGAGTAAAAACCAGCAATAATGACATATTATATGGAAATCTCTATATATTATAGGATTACTGATATATATACACATATAAAAGTTAATTCTTGTTTGGTAAAGGTTGAAGTCTTTCCAAGTTGACATCTTTGTCTGCATCTTCTCCATGTATGTCTTCTCTTTCTCATCCTGAGATATTTGTTTTCTTCCAGTTTAGCTTCTGTCGCGTTTTTAGAAATGTTATCAACGAGCCCACTCGCTAGTTGTGAATCACTTTCCTCTGGAGCTTCAAATGATGTTCACATGTCAAAACAAGAACCTTTATATAATAAATTAAAATAACTTTATTGTGAATCAAACTGGTATTAATTTGGGATATTATGGGAAAACTATCAATAATACTAATAAGTATACAGTATTGATATCCTGTGATTGTGTGAAATTTGGTGCAGCTTGATTGATTTGGGGGAATGTTGGGCCTTGGCAGACATATATGCTCTACTGAGTGTCATTCTAGATTTAGATATTAATTTGAACCTGGATTATTTTGTACGCTCATTACAATTTCAGCCTTTGAGATTATGTTTGTGCATTAATATGAAAAAGAAAAAACACAATTCATTCTGATTTATATGAGCTGCGCAGAGTCTTGTGGCTTCTCACATACCTTCTGTGTGAGTTGTGTTCTCGGCCTGAGGGAGAGACGACACAGAGACTTGATCAAAACAACAGCAGGAACAACAGAACATGTTAAAGCCTATAAAACTGTTTGAGTAGAAACCGACACCAGCGAATCAGCCAGACGCTGAGTTGATTAAATATTCGGGTTTCCTCTGTTTGAGCACTCAACAGTGCTCACACAATAAACACTGCATATTCACAAACCAAAACCACAGTACTACTAATATTTTGGATCCATGTGGTTGTTGTTGATCAGAAAACCAATCTCTCACCATATTTGGAAGGTGAAGGCGAGTGGCTTTGTCTCCCGTACTGTCTTTCCCATTCATCTCTCTCTTTCTCACGGCGCTCACGCTCCCTACACACAGAACCGCTGGATCAGACAGTTGCAAATAACACACAATTATTAAACACAAAAATACACAGAAAAACACCCACAAACGGAACCTTACTTCATGCGTATCTTGCGTGCCATGGCTCTTAATTCTCCCTCTCGCTCCTGTAAAGCAAACATAGCAATGAAAGGACAGAAAGAATAATAGAGTCCCTGCTCTACTGAAATATGAAGCACACACACACCTGACGTTTGTTCTCCTGCTGCTGGACCTTCACCTGAGCAGCTTTTTTATCCGCCTTGGCTGCAACACAGGGAAATACACAGGGAATCGAGAAGGAAAGAAAACAAAAAAAAAATATAATTTCTTGACGTCTATGCGTTGCATGTGACAAATTGAACAACATCTCACTTTGTGATTTGCGATCTGAAACTGTGCCGTTTCTTAACTTATGCATAAACCATAAACACACACACTCTCCTCAATTGTACTCACACTGCCTGTTGAGCGCCTTCTGCATTTTTAGCTTCAGTCGCTCCTGTGGCGTCATCTTGGGCTGCAGGTGATAAAAGTGTTAGCACATCCTCTCCCAGCCTGACAAAATGTGTGTGTAATATCAAGTGTACCTTGTTACACCAAATATCGCTACTATCACCTTTATGTACAGTTAGTAGGAGATGAGCGAAAGATAAATTCATTTGATGTGATGTTTGCTAAACAGGTTTAGTGTGAGATCTAGCTAAGTAGTGTATGTGTGTGTGCGCGCGTGCGGGCATGTGTGTGTGTGCGTGTGTTTGTGTGTACAGAGTTAAACTGCTGCTGCAGGATGGTTTAGAAGCAGACCAGGATCCAGCCACATGAACCTTTACACAAATATTTACATGTAGGAACACGGTCAGAGAGAGAAGGACGAGGACGGTTGAAGAAGAGCTGGTCGGAAAGTGAACCAGTGAAAAAGTTCGGGGCCGTTGACCTTAACAGAATTCAGGTAGAGCCAGTGGCATTTAGCCACTGACACACCCATGAGTGGGCTGTTAAAACCTGGCCAGGCAAGAAAAACTGCAAGTTACGACACTGCAGACAAATTTAGAAGAGCAGGTAATAAGTTGAAATGTAGTCGTCTTTTTCTCCTTCCAGAGCAGAAGATCCAGAATGTTACAGAATATAACAAAAAATAATAGTGAGTTAATGTTGAAGGAATAATTTGACATTTTGGGAAATAAACTTAATGAGATAAGAGGACTGATCACATTCCCTTGATGCAGCTGGATATTTCAGTCGGTACGTTTATGCATGTGAATGCATATGGTGCTGTCCAAGATCAAACATGTTTTGCACACACTGGAAATGTCAAAAAACAATGTGCTGTGACTAGTGCCCCCCTCACCATGCATCATAGTGCCTTCCTTCCCCTTTAGCTATGTAGCCAAGATGCTGACTGTTAGGGTGAGAAGTGTCAAGACAAGTGTATTTACCAAAATGTCCAAAGTTTCCTTTAACTCTTATCTAGTGTTCAACCTGTATATGGCTAAATATAATGTATAATTAGGTGTGTGAAGAAATGATCACACAATATTCATTCATTACAAGACTAAGGTCATAACAGTAAAGGGCCTCTGATGTGTGAGTGTGTATTTGAGGCTATGAACAGATATAAGACAATGCACTCTCTCACCCACATGTATATGTATACATGCACGCACCACTTAGAGCACAATCAGGACAATCAATAACTCCGCAGTCAGTCTACATGTTCGTTCGATTCAGGGATGGCAGCATTAATTCAGTCATTAATGTCAGCAGGAATACTGCACTGGAAATTTCAAAGTAGATGTGGGGCTTTACTGCAGTGCATGTCCAGTTTTGAGGTAGGGGGGAAGAAAAAAACAAAAATCATTTTTTTTTTCTCTGAGGGCAACAATGGCTTTTACATCCCAGTGTGGTGGACAACCATGTCAGCCTGTCAGGGATGAGGGAGGCGTAGGCTTTAGCAAGAAACCCAGCTAGATCAAATTCTTACTGACTTTGGCAGCTCCCGTCTCTTTACCACCCGCAGTATCAGGCCTGGAGAGAGGAGAGGGAGACAAAACACAATTCTAGGTGATGAGGACAATTTGATTTATATCCAAACATCAACTTTCTAACACATCTTAATGCTGAAAGGTGAACGAGGCTTTAAAAGAAAGACTATGCATTAAAGAGAAGAGAAATCAACACAGAGGTTGTTTCTGGTTTCATGGTATTGCACTGCTAGATCATTTAATAGAGATTAACTGCATCATGGCTGAGGTGCAGAGTAGCTTATATTGTTATATAATGTTGGAGGCAAAAAATCCCTAAAATCATCTAAAATTGTGACAAACTGTGCTTTGTAAGGGAAAGAACATATTGTTTCAGTTTTGAACCAAGCACTACACCGTCTACATCCCAACTTATCTGTTTCACATCTCATTAAGTCGACTTGTCACACTCGGGCACAGTTCTGTCATCGGTGATTTTTGCTGTATTTGAATACTTTTTGGAGCAAAGACGATATAACAGTTAGACTCAAAAAAGTGTAGTTGTGGAACTGAACTATATATTTTGTTTTTGTTTATCATCATTGTCCAAGCATGAAACTATCGTTCATGTTGTAGTGGCGTTCGCACCAGCACCAAATGCCGGGCACGCCCACGGTTAATTATTAACACGTGCGACTCCACTGTCAAAACTAAAGATCATTTTTGTACATTTCCACGTGTTTGTGAGGTGGTGCTGATTCATGTCTGTTCGCATTAATGGTCTTCTTACTTTCTTAGCTTGTCAGCGATAGAGGTGGTAGAGGGCTGGGCCCCTCTGTGAGCAGGGGAGGGACTGTGGTTTGGGCGGCCAGGGGACTGAGAGGGGCTGCGGCTGCCACTGTCTACCCGTCGGTGGTCTCCACTGCTCCGGCCCCCTCGCCTGGAACTGCCCCCCTGCCGTGAGCTGGAACGCGACCTGACAAAAAGATGAGACCATGTCTCACAAACATGCCCATTGTAAAATACTGACTATAGCACGGTGGATGGTCAGTGGTTTACCTTGTTCGCCTGCGTGCCGGGTATCGTCTCCTATCCCTGTCTCTCTCCCGATCTCTGTCTCGGTCGTTAGACCGTGATCGTGATCGTGTCCGGTCACGTCTCCTCCAAGATACGGCTCCTCCATTCCCTCCTCTACTTCTGGAGTGAGATCTGGAACGCCGTCTTGATCGGGAGTGGCTTCGGGAGCGACGCCCATCCCTCGCCCCACGTCCTCGTCGGGCTCGGCGCGAGCGGAAAGATGAACGTGAGGAAGACCGAGATGAGGAGCGGGAGGAGGAGGAGGGGGAGCGACTGGATGATGACCTTCGTCTCCTGGACAAACAGACAGTGCTTTAGTAACAACACCAGCCTAGCACCTAGTCTATCGAGAAATGTTCTGTTTTCTTGGGAGCTTACTCTTTCATGGTCATTAAGAGGCATTAAACAAATTAAAAATTGCAGCTTTCTGTATTATGTCATAATGTAACACACATACAATCATAAACTGGTAAATAAGTGCCACAGCTTGACACACGTTTACTCCCTGATCACACACTTTTTTTCTCTGCACATGCACGGTAGAAGAGAAGCTCTTAATTGAACTGGTACGTTATTTGATTAAAAACGGATCCACCTCAGCGACCAAAAAAACAAAACAATCAGCATTCGGACATAATGACTGTGCATGAGGAAATAACCAATGAAAAGCCAGGAAGAGGGAAAGTTACCGACCGGGAGCCCCTGCTATGACCTGCGGGGTGCTGCAAGTTGGAGGGGGGGTGGCCAGAGTGAGGAGCGGGTGTTTGAGTTGCTGCTGCAGCTTCCTCGTCACTGCCTCCGAAGCTGGTGATAAAGGTGATCTTCTCTGGGCCAGGAGATCTGGAACGTGACCGCGACTCAGAGCTGGATTCTGACTCTGGTCTAAAAATAAAAAAGGGAACATAATGATCAAACATGCACAGAAAAGACTAAGACAATGAAGAGGGACAAAGATAAACAGGGAGTTAACTCACCGTTTGTAGGGATCATATGTTGGGCTGTCTCTCCTGGCATAGCTGAAATCCACAACGATGCAGACGGGAGATTAACAATAAGTTAAATTATTAAATGTGGATTCTTAAAGAGGCATAAAGACATGACAAATTTACCTTGGTGGACTGATCTGTCGACCTTTAAGCCTCTTCTCTCTGAACTCTCTCCTTTGTCTGCGAGAACGTCGGCCCTGCGATGATCACACATAAACTGCTTTCAGACACGCACTTAACTCTGCAGTTCCTCTGTATTTTGTCAGGATGAGGTGCATGTGTGAACGAAAATGTCTGAGTCAGACGCTGCGCCTCCTAGAGTCAAGTGAGTAGAAATCCAGGAGAAGTCCACGTGTGAACACAGCAGGGATCCCGCACTGGATCACCGTGAAGTGCATGACACAAACAAAAACCATTCAATGGATGTTATCTTACAGAGTACATGGCCTTCTCAGCCTCCAGAGCCTTGGCATGTTTAATGGCTTCCACTTCCTCCTTGTCTTTCCTCAACATCCTGCAGGCAACACATTCACAGCATTAAAATCTTAATTATGAATCTTTGTATCAACAGGAGAAAATACTGCAAATGTTTAATAGAAATACTTAAAGTCAAAAATAAAAGCAAAGTATTACAACTACTCCATAAAAACAGTCCTATTGTTCAACGTGAGAAAAAAATTGTTTGATCCTCTGAGCTCATCACATCAGCAAACATTAAGTTCCACAAAGAGGTTAGATTTGACAAATGACAGTAAAGTCACTTAAATGTTACCTGACAAAGTCTCCTTCAGCCATTCCATATGGTGTCGCTATCTTGTTTAGGTCCAACTCCTGTTCCTGGTTCAGCTCATCAACATCAACCTCCACATCTGCACAAAAACCGTGATGTGTAACAACAAAACACTTCTACTTAGTTTTTTGAGAACAGGTAAAAAGGTTCAATACAAATATAAAAGCAATAATCAAAACACGCAGAAAGAGGCAAACCTCGAGTTGTCAGATCTTTACATCTCTTTCTGCTCTGCTTCCTATTTTTTTGTTTTGGGTTTAAGTCTTGAGGTTTAGTTTTCTAAACATGCAAATATTATTAATGTCAAAGTCATTTCCTCACCAATATCGGGGATTCCCTCATCCTCTTCGGATTCACTGTTCTCTGAGTTCTCTTCATCTTTGTCTGACTGGGGGTCAGGCTCTGTCACCGTGCTGTCTTCATATGTGTATCCAATGGTGGCCTTTTTCTCAGCCAGCCTACACGAAAAGAACAATTTATACTATAAAAGAACAACTTCACATTGCTGTAAATGCTCCAGTGACAAAACTGGGATTATCACATATTGATATTTTATGTGTGGATGAAGCCGTAACTTCAAATGACCTACTTTTTCTTCTCGTCCTCATTTGGTTTCTGCAGGCCACCGTAAAGTTCATCCAGATAGATCTGATATAAACATTGCTCCTCAGAGACTGTAGGAGAAAAGCAGGGAGTTAAAGAGCACAACACAAACTACACCCACCGAGGGGCCGGCTCACACACTACTATAGTACAGAAATGACACGTATACAACCCTGTTCATGTGTGAAATTTAGTTTGTTTTATGAAAATAGTTTGAGCTTGCGAGAGTGAAATGAAACTTAATTTTCACTCTTGAAAGAACTTCAGCTCTCAGGTTTGTGATACTCACTGTTTGCAAAGTCATTCTGCACGAGGCCTCTGTAGCGTTCATAGTTACACTTTCTCTCCTCCATTTCCTGCTCTTGGGTGCTGCGTAATAAAGAAGGTTATTATATCACTTCACCCAGTACTCAAATCTCACCATACTGAGTATTTTTCACAGTTTCTGTAGAGTTCATCAAATTAAATGTTAGACTTAAACAATACCACATTGAATATAGTTCAACACATTTTCCACAGTTACATTTCACAAAGAATGATGGAAAACCAGTAAAACACATAGAACGTGAACTTCTTTTGATTTATGTCTGTATGCTGTCTATAACAATAATAACTCAAATACTGTGGCCAATCAATTAAAATGACCCAGACTCAAATAAAGCTGTAGTGTGGATGAAACAAATTATATTTAATTAACTGAATCATAGTTTTTACTGAAGATACCCTCACTATGAGCTTCCTGGAGACTGTACCCAGCAAAAGAAAGAAGACAACAGTCTCCTGCAGTACAATTCACCATCACAATAACTCCACTTTTAGGGACGATAACATTAAAAAGTGGTGACACACACGGAGAAGACAAAGTCAAAGATGTCAAGAGAGTTTGTGGTGATAAGAGCTGACAACGGTGTTAACGTTCACATACACTACGCAGCAGAATTAATACTTCTTGCCTCTGTCTGCTGCACCCGGCTGCTCCGACTCTCGCCTGAACAATGTGAATAATGTTGTGAACGCGTCTGTGCAGAGAACCTCCTGAAGTGTTGTGCATGTGTGAACGGTAGACTTTGGGTAAACTCTGTAGCCAATTCTCCAGATTTTACCCAGAGGTCATGTCTGAAAACAGCTAGAGCTATCATGCCTGTATTTTGCTGGTGGTAGATGAAGTAGTATATTTGACAGCTCCACTGTCCGAGGCAGGTATTATTGGCGGTCAACTGCAGTAATACGTTGGTTTATCACCATGGTGTGAAAAACCCATACTGTCACAGACTTAGTATAAAAGTGAGGCAAATGTTTTCATATAAAATATTCACACTACACAGACTCTGGGATAAATGTGGCTCCATGTAACTGAAGGACTTACGAAGTGTTGAGCAGAGGAGGTGTGTAGGTGGGGATGTAGTCCAGATGAGCTCTTACATCAAACCTGTCAATCATGTTGTTGGCATCTCCTTGCCATGGCATCCTTTAAACAGCAGAACAGACAGGAGGTGTGAACAGTAAAATCCCAACAGCACAGTGTTCGTGATGTGTGTGGGCAGGGCCTCCCTTTGCTGTCAAAGCAGCCTGAGCTCGTTATGGATTCCACAAGATGTTAGACACGTTTATTTGAGATTCTGCTCCATGTTGACATCAGATGTTTTCTGCAGATTTGTCAGCTGCTGCCCTGCGACACTGACCACTGTTGCTGCCCATTCAATGTTTTCTTATTTTTTTTGCACCATTTAGAATGAACTTAGTATTTTCAGAAATAGTAAAATCAGCCTGTCTAGCACTAACAATCCCGCCATGGTCAAAGTTACTGAGATCACATTGTTCCTCAGTTCCTCACTCCTGACCTGTATCTGCGTTCAATGCACTGCTGCCACATGATTGGTTGAGTGGATTATTGCATGAATGAAAAGGTCTACTGGTGTTCCTGATAATTGCCTGTTGATTGTATGAGTGTGTCTGTTTCCTCACATGTTGATGGGGCTCTCAGCTGCTAACGCCACAGCAGGATCCAGGTGGATCTTGTAGGCTCGACCATGGACCTGGAGAAACTGAGCTGGATCTTTTTTCTATTGAGACAGAACAAGAGAAAATTAAAAGACATCAAGTAGTTTAAAATCTTAAACTTCAGTGCACCAGAAATAATGTTTAACCATTACTGTGTACGAAGCTCAGTTAGCTTCAGAAGTTGTTTCACCTCTCATCTGAGTCGTTGTGTTTACCTGGCAGGTCACTGAACGGAGGGGTTCAACGACCTGCCTGTCTAACATACGACTCTCAACACAGGTACAGAGCCTCAGAGGTTAAATACCTGAAAACTCCCATTAGTCAGTTAGAACTGAAGATGCCTCTTGACAAGAGGTGAAACATCTTCAAGAAACACAAGCAAGACCAGTTGCCTTCGTACACTTGAAAAACTTCTGGAGATAACATGACCTGGATGACAGGTAGCTCAGTTAGGTGACAAAGTGTCTTACGATCTTCTCGTAGTATTCTCGTCGGCGCTCTCCTCGGCGTTTGTAGTCCACCATCATACCACGGAGCTTGCGCTCGTGTTTGCGGGCCTCTTGCCACATGACGGCACCGCTGGCGGTTGGGGCGCGGCGGGGCACGGCTGCTGCAGAAGGTCAAAGAGGGAAGGAGGACACATGCAGAAGAGAGAAAGCATACAATGGTGTGAGGGAATCAAATAAAGAGATAGAATTATAAAAGTGACAGAAAACTGGAGCACAACAACTTTCTTATCTTAGATGAATATAGGACAGGGACACGTGCAGAGTTTTTCTGAGACAATCTTGCATTTAACTTCTGGCTCCCCTGAAATTTTTTTACTAAAAGCCAACTTCCTTACTGTTTGTAGCAAATAGTAATTGAAATACAGACAGCAGTGTTATCCCTTTTATTATAATTCCAAAAAGATGTGGTTCTGTGGAACAAAAAACCTTTTAATGTTTACTGCTGTGTGAGAATTTCTACAAAGCCTGGTCACAGAGATAAAACACTCCCCACTGTTGATGAAAATCTATGGAAGTGATTTATTGTGCATCATGTAGTCTGACATGTAATGGAGCATCTGGTATAGTCTTAAAAGTCAATAAATCCTTCTGTTAATTTGATCTTGTTGAGCTTATTTTGTGTAAACAAATAATATAATCCATGTTAGTCTTATTTATTTTAGTGGTAATGCTCAAAACCTAAAGTTGCACATTCAGATCTTGTAAAAATGAAGTCTAGGTAATTAAAGTCTAACTCCACAACTTCATGTGACTTTCACAGTTGTCACAGACATGGCGACAACGGCCTTTTAATTATTAGAATATACTTAATTTTCCTTCTGATGATAATTACTGATCAAATTTGAAAAAATAAAATGTGTTATTCACTTATTTGTCCTAAAAAAGGTTCAACTGCCTGTGAAACCATTTACGAATAATTGTTGCACACATGCTGATTTTAAAAACAAAGGCATAAGAAAACTAAAATCTGGTGCTTTTTAGCATTAAGTGTCAACACTTGTATTAAACACATGGATCATTTAGTGAAACTGGTTGTTGACTTTAACCACATCCCTCTGTGTGAGTGGACTGACGCTGCAGCACAGAAACAAATGTTCTACTCGTCTTATCGCGACCATCAATTGACTGAGCTGTTGCCAGCACCGGTCAGACCACCTCAAGCTAAAGAGCTAACACAGCTAATGCTCTCACGCTGACTGCATTAAACCAATCGCACCTTCGCTTTGTGCACGTGTTGGTCAACGCTGCGTTTAACGCGGAGTGTGGTCGCTGATGCAGTCGAACAGGAAGTGGAATTGGTGTTTTCAAAGTTGCGGTTGAGTTTGTCAGCTCAACGGCCTGGTTGAGCACGTAGCTGTTAGCCTAGCCTAGCCTAGCTTAGCATGTCTGCAGAGGCGGTGGAAACAACGCGTTTAACTCGTTTGTACCGACAAACATGAAATCCGGACATAATGCAGCGTTGGCGCAGTTGTGTCTGTCCCCGTGTACCTGTTGTTGGGACCACCGACACACACTGGGGTTGTTCTCGGCCAAGTGAGGGCGATGCAGCGGGAGTGTCACACGCCTCCTTCACCTCCGTTCACTGAGGGCTAGTCTGCGCAGCGCCGACCTCAGCCAGCTGGGGGCGCTGCACTCGTTTCCAAACAGTAAGTACGCCATGCGTTTCAGGAGGGATGAAGTTCACCACGGATGTCACAAGATGTCGCTGTATGACAGAGAGATCTCTGGTGAATTACAGTAAAATAATTATGTGATTATGGGAAACAATTTGATCCAACAACAGCTTCTGTTGATGTTTTTATGAAATAATTATTATCACTTAAACCCAGAATAACCTAAATGAATGATCACTTGTGATCAAACAAAGCAAGAAAACATCACATGTGTGTTGTGTTGAATAAAACTGCATCATTTCTTCATCACCAGAGTTACCTATATATGTTTAACCTATATTGTTTTCCTTTTGCCCACTAGAGCAGAGAGTTTCTGTTTCAAAGAGTAATTCAGCTGAAATATTAAAACCAGTCCTGGAAAGCAATATTTGAAAATACAGATTATATTTACAAATACGTCTAATACATCCAAATATCCAAATTTAAG